TCCCGCCTCCCGCTGCTGCGGGGAGCTCTCTTCTCGCCATTTGCTCCTCGCGGCTGGAAACAGCCTGCACCCTCTGGGTTCCCCTAGACTGCCAGGTCATCAGACGAGAGCCAGGCAGACAGAAGAGCAGACGCCAGAAAGGAGTTCCCTAAACGTGCGCGGGGCCCCCAGGACTGAGTCCCGGCAGCCAGCCGGTGCCTCGAGGCTGCTCAGCTGGGCGGAGCTGGGGGAGGAGGGAGGCTGTGGGGGCGCAAGGGGCACGGGGTGTGCCCAGGGAAGCCCTGCTGCGCTGCCCAGGGAGGCAGCTTTGTGGGAGAGGCAGGCAGAGGGCGGTCTCCTGGAAATAGCCTTCTGGGGGCCCCCAGAGCCCCTGCCGTGCAGCCAACTTTTCACCAGGAAGGCTCACTTCGGGGTGCGGGTTTTGCTCCCCTACTGTGCATGGGGCTCAGTCTTTACGGGGCTGAGTACCCACGAGGACGAGGCAGCGTGGGGCTCCCCACCCCGGGGGGGCACCTTAACGCAGCTTTCCAGCAGAGGTGCAGCTTGCCCCTGCTCTGGGGTGGGGGGCTGGGGCACAGGCCAGCTGGGCCCCGCTGCTCTCCCCGGCCGCATCCCCGCGCCCCTCGCTGTGCCGGGGACGCGTGTGCCTGAGCCGCACGGCAGCTTCCCCAGACGGGCCGTGGGGCGGCGGGGCAGCCCCTCGGGCTCTGCTGACCCATCTCCGGTGGCCCCGGGAGTGCCCGCTGGCTCTCAGGCCACAGGTGCACGGTCACCGGTGCGCAGTCGGCGCCGCCTGGCGCCCGCTCCTGTCCCGCCTGACAGAGCACCGGGCCAGGCCGCCCCGCCCGACGTTCCCCGGCTCCGCCTAAAGCCAGGGCGGCCCCCACAGCCCAGCGGCCCCACGCAACGTGGGCCTGGCTGGGCGCGGGAGGGACAGGCTGCCCGAGACGGGACGGGGACCCGTCGTCGCTGCGGTGACGCGCACGGGACATCCTGCAGAGGCAGCGCCAGCGAGTGCCGCGGGAGCCGGGCTTGGTGCCAGAGCTCCTCGGCCCCGCGGGCGGCAGAGATGCTGGCCTGAAGGAACGCCCTTGATGACGGAACACGGCAGGCGTCGAGCGTGCTGGCGACGGCGGCCACCGAGCGCCTTCTGCTGCGCCCTCAGGCGCCAGGGAACCTGTGTTGGAGGCCTGTCCTGGAGGGACGGGTCCCGTAGCGGAAACTTAAAGTAGGATTTGTCTCAAAGATATTGCTTTTTTTTTTCCTTTTAGATTTTGTTTTTGCGTAGAAGAGCTGGGGTGCAGGCCAGAGGTGCGAGGGTGAGAGGATGCCCAGAAACAGAGAGGGGAGCGGAACAGGTGGATGCACTGAGAGTCACAGCTGAGGGAGCAGCGGGGAGGGGTCTTGCTGTGCCCGGGGTCACTCCCTGGCCGGGGATGGACTCAGGCCACAGCGATGGCCCTAGGCCCCCAGGGGTTGCTGATGGCTTTTTTCTAATGGATTAAATCTCCAGCAAGGAGACCCAGGGCATTTCAAAAGTCGAGGGGCTTGAGT